CAGATACATAACCTAAAGAAGTAACACATTCCTGGCAATACATGATAAAAGAAGCACTTGGCAAAGGTCAGCTGTTCAGATGTCTCGTGGAAATCTCATTAAGTACAGTCTTCTGATAGGTCCTCTTCTTCTGCCTCAATGTCTGTACCAATTGTCCTGAATTTCTGATTGAAGTTGGGCATCTCAGTGACTTTTCTAACAAGTTAGAAGGTTCCAGTATAATTAAAATAACCTCAAAGTCAAATTTAACAGGTGAGAATTTTGATAAAACTCTTTGAATTAACTCTATTGTATGCAAGTAAAACAATCTTTAAATTATCAGTCCTTCTGAATGTAGCTAAGCCTGCTAAGATTTGAGCGAATGTCAGGCAAATTCCTAAATATTTGAACAAAAAATCCTTGCTGAAGCAATTATTCTCTATTAATGGGAGCTATGCCAAAATGAAACCCTTGTGCAAGCAGGGCCTATCTTCTTTTCAGTTTTCCATTTTAAATCCAGACTTTCCCTTCATTTCAGCTTTCCATTTGAAATCCCAACTTTTGTCTGCCATGATAACTTCGTGTTAAGCTGCTGTTAAAAGTCTAGGTTAGTGCATATGTTGAAAGAGCGCAGGTAATGGAGATCAGAAATAAAAGCAGATGATCCAAAAGTTTTGATGAACTCTAGCTCAGTGCTGAGGCAAAGCTCACCACTACCAGCAGTGTTTCTGCCTACAAACTCCAGAAATTGTTTAAGCTGAGCCACTAAAAACAGAGAAACGTTAATATTTATGTGGTGACGTTTTGTTTGACCGTCAAGCCAGTTTTCAGCTGACAGACTGCTATAAAATAAAAATATGGACAGCAACTAAAAAAGAATAAAATTAAGCTGTGTATTAGATATGAATCAATTACAGAGTGAGATGACAAGCTCATTCTCTTTCCTGCTGGAAGTGGGGAAGCAGAGTACTCCATGACCTTGAGGTTTCTTTCAGAGCACATTTGCTTTCCTTGCATGCACAGCAATATGTGAGCTTAAAGGCTGGCTCTTAAAATCTGCATTACATTCCCCTTTAGGAAGTTGTGAGTTACAGAGGGTCTTCATTCATGTTTTAGAAGAGTCTGTGTGCCTGTTTTCTGCTCTTGTTCAGGATGCTTGATCCCAGATCCCAGCATTACAGAGATCCCTGCCACCTCTGCTGCATTGCAAAGGCCTTGGATTGAGGTGGCTGCCAGGAGGCTGAGCAGTAAGGAACATATCAGCTCCAAAGAGCTAATGGTGAGTTCCATGGGGCACTGCAGGGGTTAAACTCACTGCCATCCTCTCTGCTCATGTGCAGAAGCACTTGTGTCATGTCAGCTTTTGGTCAGCACGAGCCTGCAGGATGCCCTTGCCCACTTCAATAAACTTCAGTCACTTGTGTTGTACTGAACTGAGAAGGAAAGCCCTGCAAATTTGAAACCTAAAAGTAACCCCCATGAGACATTCAGCTGTCCCAAATACAGCTGGGACAGCTGAATGTCTGGTGAGTGCCCCAGTGGAGGCATCACTCCATTGGGGATGTGCATTCCTGTAGAGCACCCTCAGCCCAAGTCACAGAGAGTATCTCCTGAGACACCAAAGAAAAAAATAATGGAGTCCATTCAAAGGCAAGTAGGTGGTAAATGTTTACATGGATTACAAAAGATGAAGTAGCCCACCAGATGTTGGAAGATGCAAGTGCTTAATCCATAGGAGAAAAAAGATGCAGGGATATCTCATGCCTCTGGAAAACTGCAGAAGGACAGACTTCATAAGCCCAGTGTTGTCCACTGACTCAGCTTCAGTCTCAGCCTTATTGAGGGGTATGAGATATAGGAACAGTCTACCAATATGCTGATAATTAAATTGATAGATGCTGATAAGTCCTTTTTTCCCTTCCTGCCTGAGCTTTACTCAAATTCTTCCATTAAAATATATAATTGAGTACCTAGACAGTTGCATTTTGATTTGCATCTCTTGCCAACCCAATATATCTTTCAGATAAGCCTTTCATGCATTACTTTTAATAATAATGCCTTAAATTAAAAGGCTGCTTCCATCAGCATAATGAAGCAAGATAGCCAAGGAAAATAGCTATGTGCCTGAGAAATTCATTACAGTAAGAAAAAAAATCCATGAAAAAGGGATGATAATGAGAAAAATATTGAGCCTCAAAGATGACAATACTGAAAGGAGAGACTGCATTTAGGGCTTACTTACTGCATGGGAGGGGCTGTTTTTCCAGAGATCTTGCCTTTTTCTTTTAATTCTGACAAATGACATAAAATTTTGGCAACTCAGTTACTTTTAAATTGCCATAGGCATCTGGGAGTTTACTAGCACAAAACCTGTGCCTGATAGTGCTATCAGGGATAATCCTTTATGCTACTTATGTAAGTGTTGGTTTTAATGATGTCCCTTCTTCTAACACTGAGAAACCTGTAACTTAATAATGACAAACACCAGAGCTGCTCAAAGAAGGCAATTTATTGTAATCAAGATATGCTTTCTAATTACCCTCCTGGTCTCTATTTAAGCTGCAGATTGAGCTACTTATATTTATCTTAGAAATGCATTGTTCTTATAAAGTCCTTTTTAAAAGAGAAATATTTGAAAAGGTGCTGAAAAATATTATAGAGATTAAAAGGAACTTGCACAGTGAGCACTAATGAGGCACGTGCTTGCCTTTGAATTGCATTCCCTCTTCCTCTCCCTCCCATCTTTATCTCTTATCTTCAGGCAGCCGCGGCAGCTTTCAACAAGACAAGCAGTTCCCATCTGACTCCCCTCTGCCTGTGTGCTGAGCTGTGCTGCTGCTCCTGGCAGGCTGTGGGCACTCAGGGACGCACAGGGGCTCTGCAGGAGGCGCTGACACACATCCAGCCTCAGACAGGTGCTGCGAACCTGCTCCCTGCTTGCCGTGACTACGCAGAGACAAAAGGCTCTGCCTGGGACACAACAACCCTTGGCTGCTGCAGCACAGATGGTGTGGAAGTGCTTTGTGTGACACGAGGTGTTAGAAAATGCTCAGCTCACTAACATGTGCTGTCAGGACCTGTTTTCTCCAAGCTGCCAGCCTGTCATTGTCTTTTGGAAACCAGCATGCAGCCAGGAAAACCATTTCCATCAGAAACAGAAGCCCTGTTTATACTTCACTTTCATTTTCTCCTACCAGGTAATTTCTCTCTCTAATGTCACCACAGGTATTATAGTAGAATTAAGGAACAGCCAAAATTTCTCTTTCATTACATAAAAACCCATAACTAGAAGAGAGAAAATAGGTTTTAAAAATGACAAGAGTAAAGGAAAGAGAAGCTTTCAAACCCAGCATTCCCCACACCTGAATCTGCTGAACTTCCCAGATACAGTATAAAAGTCTTCCTTTTCTCTATGAATTGTACAGATGGCACCTGGAGGAATTCCTGGCCAAGGTAAAATCCAACTTAGTAGTAGGAAATAATACAAGTTTGGGAACTTTGTCTTTCTGTGTATGTTCTTCATGGAAGCAGCAAAGGCTTGGAAGGGCTGAAATTGGCCCCTGTTCTGATCTATTTTTGACTAAAATCTGTTTGTTTCTTAAACAGTACCATGAACCAACAGGGTGACTTTAGTCCATTTTACAGCTACCCAGTGACATTTTTAATTTTTTCTATTATGACAAATGCAGCAACCTTGTCTTTACCTCTTACTGTAAGACTTTTAAAAGTGCAATTTGCTGTATCTTTCAGAGTGTGGACACAATCCTGAGATGGTAGGGGTCAGAACTTGTGTAGATATAGATGAGGGTAAGGAGAGCTAACATGGGAACACATCAGCCTTAAGGGTCTTTCTTCCTCTAGCAAAAAAAACCCAAAAAACAAAACAACCCCAAAAAACCCACAAGGTGGTTAAATACCTTAGAAAGTCTCTGAATGTCAAATGGTGGCCCATGACTACTCTGTCTCAACATGTGGAATTTTCAGGTTCATTTATGAGCAATCATATTTCATGTTAATTTGCTCAGGCAATGAAATGATTGCTGAAGATTTACTTTGTTTCTTTTTGCTTGATTATTCAATAACATTATTATTATTTGCTTTATTATTCATCTCAGTGTTAAATGACAATTTTTTCTCATGATACTGTTTCAGGAAGTTTTACCCTTCTGTTTTTAAACATTTTGGTATTCAAACTAATTGAATACATTATCAATGAAATGTTATCAATGTTAAGCTGTTATATTTGAATGACTTCAGGAAATAAGGATTTTGAGATTTCATCTTTGTTGTTAAAAATCTAGAATTAGGCTATGGAAAAAATCACTTGGTAAAACTGCACAAGGCAAAACCAGAAATAAAATCAAGCTAATGCAAAAATGGAGGAAAGCCTTCTCACAAAATATCTTTGTGCTGCTGGGCTTTCCATCTTCAAAATGTCTTGCAAAGGTTAAGTCTTTAAAATATATCTGTGCAATGAAGCATTATATTGGCACCATTGTTTCTTTCCCCTCAGTTAAAGTAGATGTTGAGTGTTTAAATGTCCAAGGCTGTGGAGAAGGTCGCTCAGATCTAGGACTGCAGACTAAGCTGCATCTGCAGTGCCTGAATTTCTCAGACTGGGCTGGGCATTCTTCATTTATTCAGTCATCCTTCTGTCAGCCACTGCTTTGCTTTTCTCAACTGATTGTCCTCTTTGACATCCTTTCCTGGCTGGACTGCAGCTTTCCACTGCACTGAGTGTGCTCAGATTGCCCCATTAAGCCTTCAATAATTCCACAGGTCAACCTTAACTTGGCTGTGTTTCCCTGCTCCCACTTGAGGCTTTTTGCAGTGCAGACTTTTCTCTCCTCCTGTATTACTTTAAGGAAAGGTCAGTCTGGCAGAGGTCAGCAAAACTCTGTATTCAACCTGCTTTGCAGAATCCCTATGGAAGATCCAACCCAATGAATTTGATCTCTAAAGCAGGTACATCCCAAACACATGTATAAACTCTCTGTGTGTCAGAGTAAAAAGCAACTCACCATCTCCCGTGTCAGCAATCACCTTGGAAAAGCTGCCTCTGGGAATAGGACTGGTAGTAGGAATTCAATCAGCCTTAGTAACACTGGATACTGCCAAAAACCTGCAAGAAAGCAAAAAACCATGATATAGGCTCTGTAAATGACAATGAATGATGTCTCCTTCAGGGGAAGGAAAAGGTTGTTCAGGCCTAAACTGTAGTTTTCAGGATCTCTCCAAATAGCTGGGAATGATTGTTTAAAAGCTTAGAGACCAGTGCCAGGATCTCCCCCTGCTCAGAGCTCACACAAGAGCATGACTGGTGATGACAGAAATACTTTGGAATGAACTAATGACCAGCAAGGGCCTTGCAGGATTAGACACGCCAGGAATCGACTCCACTTGAGGAACCGGAGAAATCGAAAGGTCTGACTTGTACTTTGCTGAAGATAAACGACCTGTTAAAGCAAAGGGGAAGGAAGTTTAGCCAAACCAGCAGTTTTAGTGTGTCTCAAGCTTTTAGCACCCCGGTGCATCTGTCAGGTGCTAATTGTCAACTCCCACTGACTGCAGCAGGAGCCCAGGGCACTCGGCATTGTGCAGTATTAACCTGCTGTTATTAAGCTAAAGAGATAAACATGCCAGAGTATGTGATGTTTGAACTGCAAGGCATTGTTTCTTGCATTCTCTCAACTTTAATTTTTTTTTTTCCCAGTTAGCAGTGTCTCACAGCAAGCAACTGCCTAAAGAGGAAACATAATGCAAAAGAATATGCACTGTGAAAAGTCTGCACTGTGAAGTGCAGAAATATATCATTCTACCAGGAGTAGGCTGATTTAATTTTAAATATAAAATCTTTAAATAGCTAATGTGCTTAAAATGTAGAAAATCAGATAACAAAAGCAGTTCTTGTTTCAAAGGAGAATAGCAGTCAGTGAGAAAAATGAATAAAAAGAAGACAAAGTGACAAAAGAAAGAAGGAAATATCATTGATTTCCTGGGAAAAAAAGGATAAAACCTAATAATTTTTCACACATTATCAAATAACATGGTAATTTATCCAGAATATAATTATGCTAACATTTGGCTGTTACTTGGTATCAGATGAGTTCTTTCAGCTCAGAGACTGTTCTGGGGCAGGTTTTGAGGGTGGTTTCAGACATGTTTGCTGGAAATATGGCTAATATCCCTGGAGGTGTTCAAGAAATGACTGGATGTGGCAATTAGTGCTGTGGTTTAGTAGAAAAGGTGGTGTTTGGTCAAAGGTTGGATTTGATGATCTTGGAGTTCTTTTCCAGCCTTACTGATTCTATGATTCTGTGGGTTAGGCTAGGATAGTAGGTGATGTGGCTTCTTGAGGTTGTAAGGGCAACTTTGGGAAGTTCTGGTTCTATTATTGCTAAAGGAAGGGTGAGAGCACCCAGCAAATCCTGAGTTACAACATCAGTGCTGCATGTTTTGCAAGAACTTTGAAAAGTAAAGGCTTTTATACTTTTGTACTCATTCCACTGGTAGACGTAAGACATTTTTCAAAAATTAAGCCTCCTGCTTAGTACAGAACATTAACCTTCAAAATGTAACCTATTGGCATTAATAACAGAGTTTAAAAAGTAAAATGAGTGCCTGTGCTCTGTTTTTCCCTGCTCTCCTTTGTAATTCAGATTTCTCTCTCTCTAGGCAAGGTCAGAAAGGACAGAAGGCAGAGGGGCCAGCATGATCTGCTGTGGGAATATGCAGCACTCAGGACATAATGATCCACTTGGCTGTATCTCATTGAGCATCCACCAGATGACCATCAGGAACTGACAGAGGTAGAGGCAGAGTGTCCCTTTTGTCTGGTTTTGTTTGGAAGTTGGTGTAACCATTGCCTCCATCCTTTTCTCTCAGCACACTCCTTCAGATGTAGCAAAACTCTTTTCTGAATAAGAGTGCAGGAGTGCACAAGAGCTGGGATAATTTTAGGGTTATCTTAAAATGCTCAGAAGGATTTCCATCTTAAGGGGTGGATGGAGAGGAAGCTGGCTTTAGTTCTTGTTTGATATCTTGCACCTTTGTTCCCAGGTAAGAAATTTTAAGTGTCAGAACATCTAGGCAGCCCCAGAACACCTCAGAGGTTTTATTTGGCTTTTTTAACAAATAAGAAGTCTCTGTTTCTTCACAAGCTCAAGCTCTTTTTCATGCATGCCTTACCCCTGCAGTCTATGCTTTTCCAATTCTTTTCTTTTTCAGCTTCTGCATCTTTACATTTTTATCTTGATCTCAACACAGCTCTTTGCATTCAGACCATCTCCAATTGCATTCCCCATTTCTCCCCTGGTCCTCTAATGCAAAAGGGAATATTTCTGACATGCATGTGCTTACACAGTCAAGAACTTAATTGTTGGCACTGCCATCCAATGACTTCATTCTTGTCTGAATGGGGAAAGTGACCTCTGAAGGGGATCTGGAGGCCCCCTGGCTGCTTAGATCACTATTTGCTCCCTGTTATTTGGAGTTGTTTGGAGTGCTGCCAGCCACTCCTGTGCAGGGAGATTTGCAAGCTGCCTACAAGCTCTTGTGAAGACCTTGTCTGAATGGGAAGGATGTGGGAGTCCTTGTTGATGATACAGCTGTATGGATGGATGTTTTACCTCTTCATTTATCATTATCATTATAATTTCATTATCATTACCTTATCATTTTCAGCTTAATTAAAATGTAAGCACCCTGGACCTAGAGGATCAGCACAGGAACTGAACAGACATCTCCAAGATGAATCTTATGTAGCTGGAAAGCCATGTTCATATGGGTTTATGCTTTCTTTTATGCATCAGAAAAAAAATCAGGTAATGTTCAATGAGTAAAGTGAGGCTGTGTTTAAAGTAGTGCTAAATGCAGGCAAAGACAGAGAAGAAGACATTACAAAACTGCAGAAATAAGGATTTTTGCGTCTATTGATAGTTAATTTACAATTAGAGTAATTTCTGTTATGGTAGAACATCTCCACATAAACAAAAAAAAAAAAAAAAAAAGGAATTGCCCCAAGTCCGATGAACTCTGTTTTGTTTATTAAACAGAAGCGAAGCTTTTAAGATTTGCAGTTGCTTTGTACATATGAGGACTTAATATTTCTGAACAAAACCCAAACCTCTTTTCACCCAATATAAAATCATTTCACATCTGCTCAAAATCCCAGCAGTCTCAGTTTCTGTGTGGCAGCAACTTCCTCTAGGAAGGTAGTCCAGCAGAAGAAATTCTGGGCCTGTTTCCACCTCTGAAACACATTTATGGTTTCCATTGCTTCTCAAACCTCATGGTAATCCTACATCAAGTCTGAATATTTATTATGGAGGTTGAAGTCTGTGAGTAACCAAAACCCAGAACTATCAATTTCAGCCCTCCTTCCTTAGCAAAGACATTGATATTATGAGGGCTTTGGTCTTGTGAATCACAATGGGAAAAATCTTGTGAAATGTGTGGAAGGAAAGCTTTACTTGTGGTTAAAAACAGCATCTGCAATAATTCCATGAGAAGAATAAAAGTGAGTTTCTTACTGTGTGGAGGATGCTAACTAGGACTTTTTAAAATGGTACCATTTCCTAGGACAATTAAAGAAGAAAAACTGCTTTCCATGACTCTAACAACTGTTTTAAAGGCTCAGCTGGCAGCATCATTTCCTATCATGCAGAAGATCTAAGTTCAAGATCACACACAAATTTTTGTCTTCTCAAAAGGCAGCAGGCAGTAAAGGTGGCATAAAGAAAATTACAATCTTACTGCAACGGCAAACAGAAATCTCTCTGTGATCATGAGCTGAGTTTGTGTTTCCTGTACAAAAGTAGCAAGGAGTTAGAAGCAGATAATACTCCCTAGAATGGCTTCACATCCATAGCTGGGTGAGAATTCTCTTTTTCTTTAAATTTACAGTGGCTGCATCTGATGTTCCAGAAAATGATGGATCAGTACAGTCCTATAAATCCCAAACACATATGTAGTATATCTTTTCAGAAATAAATTACAAAACAGCCTTCCAGAGGAGGAGAGGTCTGCAATAATGACAGCACCCTGACAGTGCAATAAAGAGGAATTCATTATTCAGACTGCAGGGGTTGACAATGGCCAGAGGGCAAATGCATAAAATAAGAAGAAAGAGTCAATGCTCAAATGTCAAAAACTCTCTGCCACAAGAGGAAAAAAAGAGAAATGTGTTCAAAATATATTTCCTCTGTATAGGAATGATGGTGGTGATGATAATAATAACATTTATCTGAGTATGATAAATATTGCTGAGGATGAAGCATTATATGACATCATCTGTGTATGAATAAACTGTCCCTTTCCAGTTTCCATTGCCATAAAATAAAAAAGAAACTTTTGCAATCTAGAAAGCGGCAGCAAACCAAAGAGTTAAATATGTAGGATGGTTGGTTTTGTGAGTAATCCTAATTGACAGTTTTTAAGCTACTGTTCAATTCTAGAAACAAATCTGATTGTTATCATTATTTCTTTTATTACCTGAAGAGGATAATATCTACTCACCAGTGCAACTACTTCAGTATGAAATTTTGCAGGCATAAACTGCACCCTTAAACAAGATCTCAATCCCACAAAGGAACAGTAATAAGCTGGGCAAAAGCCCAGTGGTTTTTGTGGAGTTATTTAGTTCTAAACAAACTTCCTTTGCAGTCTGTCTGTTTTTTATTTTTAGTTCCTCCTTCTTCACTATTGAACTCTTTTGTAAGAAGGAAGGATTCTTGTTCTGTGTTTTTCTTCCCCTGCCATTTCCCATATGAAGCTACAATCCTCTGATGGGTTGTATGAAGAGGATTAGAAACATGTCATCACTAATTGCAGATGAGGATTTAAAGGAGGGCTGGGCAGGAGAAGCACAAAGATGAGATTGCCTGACCTGTCTTGATTAGGCTGTGGATGCTTTGTGTCTGTCTCTGCTGCTCCAGGAAGTCAGCCTGCCTCCCACATCTGCCCTCATCTTATGGCAAGGGAAAATTGTTGGTTGTTGAACAGGATGAAAGACTGACTTCTGCACTGCTCCTAAAGACCCATTTCTGCCATGAGGACTACATAAAGTTAGTTGGCTCATAATGCACAAGGGAGTGTGAAGTTGCAAAGAGGAATCACTTTTAA